TTCTTCTTCTTCTTCTTCTTCTTCTTCTTCTTCTTCTTCTTCTTCTTCTTCTTTCTCCTCTTCTTCTTCTTCTTCCCTTCTGCGTACCCCTGCTAGGGGGGTAAGTGGCTATGAGATCTTCATCTCACGATGCAATTGATTTTGTGTAAATTGACTTTTTTTTTCAGTGTAGAACATTGGATCCCCCCTTTTGCTGACAGTCAGCCTCGTGCCGTTTCAGAATATATACTGTTGCTGTTAAATCGTAATACATTTTATACCGACCAGCGTGACTTGAGTTTTGGGAAGAAATTTTTGAAATTTTGGTTCAAACGGCAACCCGGAGGGCCCAAGCTCTTTGATTTTAGAACCGCCAAGGAATCTTTAACCAGCGAAGGTTCCACGAAAGGCCTTCGGATTTTTTATCGTGCTTATTCGAGAAGATTAGAAGCTTGATCCCACCTGCCACAATAGGATCAGGGTGTGTAGGTTAATTAGGTAGTTCTTTTTTAGACCAGACCATCGCTGGACGTGACAGGCACTGAAGAGAGCTGGAAGGATGACACAGTAAGAATAGGGGAAAAAACTAAACGTTGTGATTTAATAAGTCACACAAGACCATCTGAAGACTTTCCTTTTCCCTGCTGGTGAGAAAGGAGACAATGATTTGGAAATCCGGCACCCAGGCCACTATATGAACTTAGAGTAAATGTACACGGTGAGACAAATGACAAAAAACACAAAAAGAAATAAAGAATAGAAGGCGGGAAAGAAAGAAAGAAGGAAAGAAGGATTGCAGGAAGAAAGAAAGATGGACTGAAAGATAAAAGAATCGAAGAGGGCAGATTTATTCATTCTCACTAAGAGTATTTCCATTACGATGATTAAAATGGCAAAAATTATTGTATGACCATAACATCTAATAATAACACGCCATTTATAATTGTTGCGATGCTGAGCCCTTGCTTGAAGCTCAGAACGGATGCCCATTGGATCGGTTTCAAAATCAATCAATCAAGCGTGGGAACTCTGTGGCGTGTAACCCAAGACGAGACATTTATTGCAAACTCGTGCTAGTCAGTCCTTGGCTGGAAATGATACATGTACATAAACCATTGTTACTTGCCTTTTGACTTTTTACCTGTATTAAATTGCATTGCGGAAGATAAGATGGAACGTGATGGTAGAGTAGTATAATAATAGGGCCTACTTTGTATTTTTAAAAACGTTTTCTGCGTTGTTCCTGTGTATGTGTCTATTTTCCTTGTCTATTTTGCAATGAACCGTGTTCACTTACAGTTGAAAATGTCCACAATGGCTACACATTGTCGAGGTGAACAGCGGCCATCTTAGACTGGTGGACGGTTTGGGGAGGGTCATTATAGTATAGAAAAAAAACAACACAAGGGGAAAGTAGGAAATGGTCGTTTGTACAGATGTTAGTTTTAGACAGGCAGCCTTTAGAGAAAGTTTGAGCGACTGTATTTTTATATCGTTACTCTCACAAGAAAATCTCCTCAGTCACATTTAGCCGGTTTGGAGCTTTCGATTCTGAAATGAAGAGCAGACCCAGCCTGGTAATAATAATCCAGGTAAACACAAAATATAAAATCAATTGAGTGTCCCAAATTTCAAGCGTTTCCCAGAGTCAGTAGTTCCAACTAAACAATTTATTTTCTTCATTTTCTCGTAACTGCTAAAATAACTTAGGCGTTTCATTTAATGAGTGTGACGATGAATGTGTGCTTCACCTAAGCTCCAGCAAACAGCTAGCACGTACCTAGCTAGAGCCCGCCTTCCCTGGTATCTGAGCGTCTTCAGCTGGTCCATGTCGTGCCAAGTAAGGACGTTCCTGATCTGTATTGCCTCCAGTGTGGCGTCCATGGGTATCTCGCTCACCAGAAACTCGTGGTTGTTGCTAAGGACAGCCCTGTGTTGCTTCAACATTCTCGCGGCTCAGTGTCTTCTCCTTGAGCTGCCCTGTCTGTCAGAAAAGATCTCCTTCACAAACAGTCTTGGTGGTTGCCCCTGTCAGGAAGGACTGGAGCAGTCCGCCCCCTGAATGCTGAATAATCCAAATTTTATTTAGTTATTTATCTATCTATTTATAAATTAATTAATTTATTTATTCATTCATTCATTTGGGTACTTACAATCATTTATCATTAAAGTTTCCATTTTTAGTCTCTCAGACTCAGCCTACCTTCCCTTTTGTTTTTGCCCACTTTTCTTTAGCAGGATGTTATCGGGGATGCCAAATGATTTTTGAAAACCCCCCTACTGAAAATGAGCGGAGCATCACCGAACCTTGTAAAGCTTTTAAATGAGCAAACCAAAACATATCCTCTCTTACCTCTACCATATTCCAACGGATGAAAAAAACGGAAAAACCGGACAATTGGCATCCCTGAGTTATGCTCACGCAGAAGTCTGCTTTCTTCGTTCTGCTTCTTCCTATTCTGCCTGTCTGCCTGCCTGCCTGCCTGCCTGCCTGCCTGCCTGCCTGCCTGCCTGCCAGTCT